TGGCCGTCGATTTGCCAGCCTAATGTCAACAATTTAAAATGCATCGACATGACAGCCATCGATTCTCAAGCGCCAGCCAGCCTCAATCGCCTCATCATTGAGCCAGGAAAAACTGAACTGAGCTAAGCTGAGCTAAGCTGAGCCCACTTCTCGGGTGTGTTGTTGCCTTCTTAATGCTTAGCTATTTATTCACAAATTGATTTTTATTACAGAATATATGGCTTATAATTTGCCACAAATAAATATTCAAATTTTTGTTTTTGTAATGGTTGGCCATCAAAAAAACTTAATGAATGAGTGCCGTCATCAAGTGAGATAAATGAAGTGGTAGCTGTGTTAATAAATAGTTTACGATGATCTGGGATAAGGCTGTGGTCGGGAAAACACTTGAGTTCGAATAAAAAAGCGATATAGTAACACGTTCTTTTACAAATCAACTAAATAAATCTTTCTGTTTTAATTTAAATGGTTTTTAAAAAGATCTCTATATATTAATTATTTCTATGAGTCATGTTATCTTTTCAATTATTCTGGATAAGACAAGAATCTTCCAGAACTTTTCCCCCTAAAAAATTGAACTAATTACTAGAGCAGTAAGAGCAATTCCGCCATTCCTTCCATTTCTTCGATCGTTTCAAAGTCAAGTGGCCCGCCAGTCCAAACTATACAAAAATCCCATTAAGTCATTATTCCCTATACTATACATATATACATCTTATATATATAGAACACTTTAGTGGGGTAGCAAAGGGAAAGCATAATATGTTTTCTATGTGCTCCAGTGACCGCTAATCTAATCTAGGCTTATCTATTTGAACAGCAGAAGTGGCAACCACACTGGCGGAATGTTCCTGAGTTTGCCGCACATGAGAATAAGTTTTTAAGCGATCGCTTAGATGGCATAAAAGAAACACCTGAGGGCAGAATGTACACGTATACAGGTAAGTGGGTGGCTGAAGCTCATGCAATTAGCAGAAATTGCAAATTAATAATCATGTCTCGTGTGGATAACAAGGACAAAAGCTAACACACACGACACCCACTTAATACAAGGTGTATATACGTATATGTACATATGTATGTATGAACAGGGGGCAGAAGGTTGAAAAGGGAGGGGGAGAGGGGGGCAGAATGAGTGGGTGGGTGGTCTAAAAGCCATAACAATTTGCAAGCGTATGAAAAATGTATGCGGAGCAAACTTTAAATTCATTACACACACGCAAAGTCAGCAGCAGCAGGAAAGGAGGTGGAGGAGATGGTAGATGAACACACTAAAAAATCTCCAAAAAATACTACAAAATTTAATTGGTATTTTTAAGATATGAAACTGTAAGTCAATTTTGTTCTGATTTTTTATCGATAATGAAATCTCTGCCTAGTATTGTTGGACAGTATTTTTTATGATAGCTTCTATGATCTATTATAAGACTATTAAGATCAAAGTTTCCCTTATCATTAAAATATGAAAATTAAAAAAACACATGAAATTTATTTCAGTGCAAAGAGTGAGGTTATAAAGATGAGTAAATGGGGCAGGAGAAAGGTGACAACTTTTCCACATGCTACTATATGGAACATGGACACGGGCAGGCCAAGCAGTTTGTTTAAACTGCGGTCGCTTGCCAGGATGTGGAAATACCACACCCACACGAATGCATAACCATTTTCACTTGCGTGTGTGTTAGCACTTTCAATAAGTTCTCACAAACACACACACACACACACACACGTACGTACGCCTGGTTGTGGGTGGCCCTGCCTCAACCTCTTTTCTGGTAATTTGAAAAAATTTTCGTGCCTTGCTTCTATTTACGCTTTTATCTCTGTGGCACATTTACCAAAAAAAGAACCCCCTCTCCCTGCACACTGTTTTATACAATTTGTATTTCTTCATTTCTATTTGCTAGCTTTATCCGCATTTTCTTCATTATGTGAGAGTGTCTGTATTTCTTTTTGTGTAAGTACACTGAGAGAAATGCAGTTGCTTAGGGGAAGGTTTCAGTCTTGAAGCTTAGAAACAGAATTTGTTTATAAGAAATTTGGTTAACATCATTAAAGTATCATATGCTCCTCTAAGTCATAGATTTCTTATTCTAATTCACTTTCTATTTCTCTCACTGTGTTCATATTAACCTTGGGCAGGGCATTAAAACCGTGCCAAGTGTCGAAGGCAGGCCCCCGAGTTGGCCCAAAGCAGAGCAGCCGGACAACTGGACATTTATTGAAGGATCCACCCTCGTTCCGCCCCTCCTTTTCGGCCACCTGAATCGTTGGCTGACTCATTTAAAATTCGGCAAGGTGTGTTCATGTGTGAGTGGGCTTGAAATCCAAGCTACTGGCCCATTTTGTGTGTCCCTTATTTCTTTCTTTGGCTCCAAATGCTCTTTCTCCTCCTTCACCTTCCACTTTTCCTTCTCTTCTTCTCAGCTAACTTCCCCTCGTTTTGCCCCATATCTTTTTCTACCTTGGCTTTTTCGTGTTTATCTCACTGAACTGTTGCATTTTTTATGCCATTTTATTCCATTTTTATTTTTATGCTCTGCCAAATGTTTTTTCTGTCCTTTTTTTCGGTCTTCTCACTTTTTTGTTATGTTTTTTTTTTCCTTCGTTGCCGTCTCGCATTCTCACATGCCCTGCACATGAAGTGCTGGAAAGTAGATCAATTTTTGTCTCAGTGGAGTGGGAAATGGTGTTCTTTCGAGTTTTTGATAGTTCTAAGGGGAGGTGTAGGTACTGTGTTTTTTCATGAAAAATTTTCCTGAAATATTTGAATAATTTAATATTTATAATATAGCTACAGCTGCCTACTCTTCTTCATTGTTTTACCAAGTTTTTAAATAATAAAATAATTGATAAACTTAACATGAAAAAGAATAGCCAATAAGTTATTACTTAACCCATATTAAATCTTTTTCCAAAAAGCCTAAAACCAATATCTTAATCGAACAAATAGCCCTAGAATACTTCCCATAATATATTACCCATCTCCAGGGTAATCCCTGCCTCGACTAATCCCCACTAAGAACTCCACTGTCCTCTACCTAAGACCCGCCTTTTGTGCTGGCTAATGTCTATTTTCTTGTATTTTGGTTTCTTTTTCTGCATTTCGGCATTTTATGATATCCCAGCGCGCATTTCTGTCGTTTCTGAGTGCAGGGCTTTGTTTTCCTTTTTCTTCGGGATATTTCGTTCTGTTTTTTTGGTTTTTTTGGGTTTTTATTTTTTATGCTGAAGAAAGCAATGTATTTTTAGTGGGTTCTGCTAAACGTCTAAAAATATGCGCCACGTCGAGCACCTGAGTGGCATAGTGAGGGGTAGGAATACGGTTCGCTCTTTTATTTATGACCCTCGAAAAGAGATTCGTGCATTTGGCTTAAATCTCCCAGGAGCAGGCTGCTCCGTTGAAGGTCATCGTTGGTCACGTACCCATACTCCACCTCCTCCTCCCTGCTCTTCCAATTTGAAAGAAAAAAAAAAAGTAAAACCAAATCGATTTTAACGATTATTATTTCTTGGCTTTTGCAAGTTGTCAGCTTAGTCACACTCACTAACTCACTCGCTCACTCCACAGCTTATGAATATGAAATGCATTCGCACGGTTGGCGAAAAATAAAACAAATTGCATGAAAATAAATACAAAAAGTAATACTTGTGATTGACAAAAGTGTGGCAAGGACATTTAGCCAGCAGCGAGCAGCGAGCAGCTCTGACGACATTGCCACATTAACGTTAATTGATGACCAAGTCTTGACCACCGCCCTTTATACAATGTCCACTGTCCAGTTCGCAGTTCCCATTGCCCATTGCCCATTGCCCTGTGACAGCTCATTAATAAGCGGATTTGAGCATGTCCTTTGGCCTTCGCTTTGTGTTGACGAGCTAATCTACTGCATAAATCTACAGTTTTGTTAACAATTCCAACAAGAGCACAGATAGCCAACAAAGTAATACAACAAAAAAGGCCAATAAAAAGATCCCTCGAGTGGCAACCAAATGCACGGCCAAAAAAAATCTAAAACACAATTTTGCTAATCAAACAAATTAGTTACCATCTCCGGCTTATCATTGTGACATTTCATAATGCCGGTAAAAGTATTTTTAGCCTTCTTTAACTTTCAGTAGACATATTTATTACCAAATCTGATTTAGTTTTTTTTAGTTTATAACACATTTTTAATTAAGGTTAGCTTGTCTTTGGAAAAGTTAAGAAAATCAGATTAAAATGTCTTACAAATTAGAAATATTCTAGGAGACATTTTTAGATAGCTAGCAGTGACGACAGATATTTATTAAAGTAATTAAAATTTAATATTATTTATATAGATTTTTACGATCTTAATTAAATGCATATTTTTAGATAGAACATTTATGACTAACACTTCTCCGATTAAGTTGACTTTTATTAAACAGAAACATTTAATTTGTGATTTATGGTAGTATAAAATCCTAATTAAATCAGTATTATTATCGAGCCATCTTTATCTTTTTGAGATTTAAAAATGTTTTTAAAAAACCAAAAAAAAACCGCATGTTGCCAAGTAATAATAAATTAATCATAAAACCTTTTAACGATTGATCATTTTTATGGTCACTGATAAGCCGAAATTTCTTTAAAAGGAAAATTACTGATATGAAAAAGTCAACACGCGCTGACATTAACCAACTAATGTTTCTTGCCGTGTGGCAATCAAGCGGGTCAGAGTTGAGCCAAGGGTCGTGGGAGTGGCAACATCATTGGGGCAGGTCTTGGCACTTAATTAGAATTGCCACCGAATAGAATAGAAAAGTTCGAGAGAGAATGGGATAATTTATGCAGACGAAAGGAAATGGACAAGCATAAAATATATACCACAGATAGATATATACTCCCATCGGGTTATGCAAATACCTCAGCGAATATCCAGAAATCGAATCAGAAATCGTTCGAGTTAATTGTACCACTTCTTGTTTGATTTTCACTTAGCCAGTCTTACTTTTTTCTTAGCCGGCGAGCCACTTACCTTTTCTTAGATGTTCGCAAACAATTTGAAATGCAAATAGGCAGAACTCCCTGCTTTCCAAGCGCTCACTTCACCAAGCTGGCCCGTTGCCAAATATATATATATATATATATATCAACTTTGTATATAGATTTCTTTCGGTTTCCGCAAGTGACAGACTGTCCGATTTCGCGAACACACGGTAAATATTGAAACTTGATATTTAGTTTTGGGCCCAAAATCAAGCCAATTAGCGGGCTTTTGGCCGGCTGTTTAACAAACACACGGAGTCGATTTCGGAATCGGATTCGGAATAGGAATAGAGGAATATAGGGAATCGGTATTAGGGGTAATCGAAGAAGGTGTTAGTCTATCTAACCGGCACGACCGACTATTTTCACCTGCCAAGAAGTTGCACTTGCTGACAAATTGAAACAATCGCACTTGTTGTTGTCGTTCGGTGTTTTGAGTCTGAGATAGATAGTTTCGCTTTTTTGGCCAACTACTTCTAACGGCCAAGAGATTCGTTACGAGTGCCGGCAGTTTTTGTTAAACGCTGCTACCGCTGCTGGAAAACGCGACTGTTCGCCACGAACGGAAAATTGCGACTGGCAATCGCGAAAGCAAACGCAAAGCTCGCTGCTGCCGGCTTGCCAGAAAGCCGAAACTCGCCAAGTTGCTGCTCAGTGTTGTGACGTAGCTGTTGTGTGATGCTGTTGTTGCCAAGAGAGAGAGGTAAGAGAGAGTGAGGTGCACTGGGAAAAAAGTAGCTTACAGAGCTTTACATAGTAACATTACTACTTTTACTGCTTATGGTATTGAAAAATAATCTTTAAACGCTATAAAATCAAAAATAAAAAATGAAATAAATAACAAGTAATCTTAAAACTCTGTTTATAACCTCCAAGTTTTCCTAAGTGAAGAGAGCATTAAATCAGAGCCTACGCTCCTCACTGCTCCAAAAACATAAAGAGCAAGAGATAAAGATTCACTCTTTTGCAAAATTGCCGGCTCCGCTTGGCAACATGTTTTTATTTGTTAAATGCTCCCCCACATGCTTAGCAACATGTTGACTAGAGAAGTTTGGCGCGCTTTTATTTATTTGAAGTTTACTACGCTAATTTGAGTTGTATTGCTGACGCCTGGTGCCCCCTTTAATTGCTGATGCCTGATTTATAATTTATACAGTTGATTTTATTTTAGTTTCGCTTTAGATTTTCGTTTTGTTTGGCTTTGCCGCTCGCCGCTTGCTTATTTATAAAGACATTTAAATTTATGGGCGCCGAGTTTTTGCATGAGATCAGAGTGCTTGGCCCAGTTAAATTTATGGGCGCAACGGGTGCGTCTTGTCTCTAGAAAAGAAAACAAAACTAAAACTGTATGTTTCAAATAGGAGCAGAGCAATAAACCGAATTCTTTTTGTTGCCCAACACAGAAAGTGTTGCCAGCGGCCTACAGTGTTTACTTTCTGCGGCTCAGTCAACCTGAAAATGTTCTGAGATTTAAGGGAAAAGCAGAAAAGAAAATGATGAAGAATACTAAAATGAAAATTCCTGACCACATTCAATGCAAACACAAAATGACGCCATCTGTCTGCCGGTGCCGCCCATATTTATAAACAATTACGTAGATCAGCGTGGCAGCGTTAATGAATCATGCCCAAAGGTCTTGTGAAATTTGCATTTTAATACAGAAGTTTTCTCGGAAAATTTTTATATATTTAATTTCTTAAAATTGTAAAAGACTAATCCTATTCATTAGCTGCCAAAGTTTGAAGAACTTTTCCTAAGACTTTAACAAGTGTGAAAACGAAAAGCTCTCTAGCTTCGGCAACTTGTTGCTTTTTTTTATTAAGTGGTGCAAGTACACAAGCAACATCAACAAAAACAGCTGCAACATGACCATCAGCAACAATCACAGTTACATTACCAAGATAAGAAACAAAAGTAGGAAAAGCAACACAGAATCAAGTCCTGCACCAGCAACATCGAAATTAGTAGCAAGAGCAACACAAGGAACTGCAACATGAGTGGCAACCAAATACCCAACAGCAACACCATTACTAACACAGCGGCAACAACAGCAACAAGTGCAATCTTAGCCACCACAACAGCACCAACAACATTGTATTCAAGGAGCAACATTAACATTTTCATTGCTTGTGCGAGCCTGACCCATTTAAAATAACAAGGAAATGAGGTTGTCTTTTAAAGGTCGAAACTGAAATACCCTTTTTTGTAAGAATATTAAAATGTTTTTATAGACTTTAAAGGGGTTTTAAAAATATTTATTTATTATACTCATTATTATTTTTATGCTCATTAAAATATATATTTTGCATGAAGAAGTGTTAGTGAGGGGTTTGAAACTTAGAATCTCTAAGCATAAGCGCATCTCTAATATACCTAAATTTGGTATTTTTTTGGCCATGCCGTTACTTCGGTATACATACATTCACACTTAGGTACCAAATAGGCTTTGCAAACGAACAGAATGAAATCTTAGAGTCCACTAAATCTCGTTGTATTTATGACCAATAAGTGAATTTCTTAAAATATATTTTAAGCTTAGTAACTACAAGCTTGGTAATAAAACGATGAGTATTTTCCTTCATAAAACTTCATACTTGTGACTATATTTAAGTTTAATCTAAAAATAAGCTTAAGATTATCACCTATGCAATGTTTAAGTTTAACACCATCTCTTTATTCTTACATATATAAAAACTATAACAAAAGAGAGATAAATAAGAAAGTAAATATTGTTACAAGATGATAAGAGTTTTCTTAACTGACAGAGACTTTCCATGGTCAAGTAGCAATCCTTGTCAAAATGGCAAACATCTCAACTGGCTGACGAAACCTTCTAAAAACATAAAATCCCAGAGTATATGACGGAGGGTCATCCAATCACCCAATAAAGTGGTCAAATTGACGGAGCAGTTTATTATTAATCTGTTGCACTTTATAAGCTGATAAACAAAACGGAATGTTTACAGAATGATCAACAAATTGAGCGCACTCGAGGAAAAAATATTCGAAAAAGGCGCGAGCAAGCAAACAAATTGTAAACAAAAAAGTAATTCGAGAAAATATGAAAGCTCAGCAAAAAAAATAACCAGAAAGCAAAGACAAATGGATCATAATTTTGGGTTATGGAATAGTTTCCCGGACGGAAAATGGGAATTGCGAATCGAAATAGATTAATTTATTGGACGTGAAAGAGTTACCATGCTCCCCGGGCCACACAGGATGGTGTGATCCATCCATGTTGGCTAAAAATAGGGATGACTTCCAAAATCGAAATAGAATCGCCATGGTTCCATGGGGTTATACGATGTGGGTGTGGCTGATCTGGGTGTGGATGTGGCTACAAATGTATGTAGTTATGAGGCTGGAAGGTTGGATGGAGGTGGTGTGGGGTGATTGTGCTGCCATCTGCTCTGGACATTGGCATTGAGTGGGTGGCGTGGCGTGGCATGGCATGGCGCCTCGCTGGCAACATGTGCGGCAGCTGCCCCCAAAAAACAAAAAATCTGTGCATAAACATCAGAATTCGTGTAATGTTACGAGCATACACAAGCAGAAAATTTGTTAATAATAAAAGAAATTCCTTGCAAAATGTTTAGGAAAAATATTATAGAAAATCTAAAGCAAAGATTTCCTCTTTATGGCCCCAAATTAAAATCAAATCCTTTACCATTTATTCTTTCATATAAACAAATTTTAAAAATAAATGGCTTATTCATCATCCACACTAAATTAAATTATAGTCCAAAATTTTCTTGATAGTGTAGGAGGAGTAATAAAAACTATTCCAACTTTAATTACCAAATAGTTACGATATAAAATTCCGCCCAGCAAATGTGTGGCCAAAAATTTGCTTTGCCGGCCATTAACACCCGGAAAATTGGAATAAAAACTAGAATGACGATCTTCATGTATATATAGGGGGAATAAAGGAAGGTCGCCCATGATTTATGCCTTAGCTCAACTCTTTTGGGGCCATCAAAGGCCAGACCTATTAATTCCGTTTCATTTCGTACCCGTAGACGCAGTCTACGCCTCCGTTTCGATCTCGATTCATTTCGTCGTCCATCGACACTCTGCACTTGACTGCCCGGCAAATGTTTGCGCAACATTGGCAGCCGTATCTAACATAATGCCTCTAATTCTTATAATTTATGGCAATTTAAAGATTTTCTCAGCTGCCCCCAAGGGGGAGTGAGCCTAAACAAACACAAGAAGCGTCATTTCTGGCCTGACATTGACCCATTGAAGAGGTCGCAGCACGTGGACAATCGAGTATTCGAATGGGAAAAAGGGGTTAGTAGAGAGGAAGGGAAACCAATTAGAGAAAGGTTGAAGGTGGAAAATCTTAAGTGAATAGATTTGGTGTTTTAATATTGCATTTTATTTATAAAAATGGAATTTCCTTTGCAAAAATATAAACAAGGAAGTGAAAAATTCTTTTCTTTAAAATGGTTTATTCCGTGAAACAATATATTTGGCCGGAAGCTGATAAAATATTTGTAAAATCTGTTTTTGGTATTGATAAAATTATTGATAAAATCATAGAATTTTACATGAATCACTTAAGAAATAACCAAAAGGTTTGACCTTCAAATTTACTTCTTTTTATACGCTTTATATAGATTAGTAATCATTGCTTTTATAGAAAAATTATAGGAAGAGAGGCTATGAATAAGTCAACTTTGGTTTTGGTTTCACTCTGACAAATGCTTACTTCGGAAATTTCCGAGTTAAGTTTTAGTTTTCTTGCCTTCTGCCATAACATTGAAACTCATACGAACCGAAAACTAAACATACCCCTTGAATAACCTTTTAGTAAGTGTTTAGTTAAGTAAACCAGTAAAAAGGTATACAAGGTATAAGGCATTCCTGTCTTACTAACCTTACCTATGACTAATATAAATACATTATAGGAAATAGTGAATCTATGCTTGCTTACATGGCATATAGTAATCTATAAATAGTTTAATGAACAACCTTATATAGATTATTATTCGCTCAAAAGCCAAACAAATACTTTCCTTTGATAAGAAAATCATTTGAGGGGTTCAAGTTTAAAGGAAAAACGGCTATAAAACTAATTTCACTAAAACTTTCGACAAGTTTTGAGGAAATTAACCCAGACAAATAATCCCGGCATCAGGCCAACAGTTTCCTGCCCATTACAATTGCCAGATGTCTTAAATTTTTCGCACATTTCGGATATATTCAAGTACATACCAATATATATATATATGTATATAAAATTTTGGAAAAAGATCGGCAGGCGCAACATGTGTCGGTGCTCGGGGATTGGCGTCTGGGTATGCTCCACTAATAAGAGCAAAAATTTTAGTTCAGAATGATCGCCGCATTTTTGAACCGCACTACCGAAAACCCAAAAATCGAAAATCGAGAAAACAAAAACAATCATAAAATGCATAAATTTCAAAATAAAGAATCTTCAAATGCAAATAAACAAGCTGAAAACCTAAAAACAAGAAATGTGCAAACTTGCATTTGGCTCAAGACAATTGCTTAATAAACTCATAGGATTTCCATTATATTTTACTGGTTATATAGTTAGGAGGGTTAATACACTGAAGGTTACCACTCTGAATCATTCAGTTATCGAAGTGAGTAATGCACTATGCAAATTTGGTTGGAAAAGAGAGAGGAATACCTTAGAGCAGCCAGTTAACGTGTTTCCAATTATGCAAATCTCATCATAACATAACTCACTGGAACGAGATAACCAAGTTTGGAATACTTCCAGTAATAAGTTTTCAATTAAAAAATATATTTGATAAGAGTCTCGAAGAGAACACCCAAGAAGTGGCTAAACTCTGCGTAACTTAATTGCTTTTCGTTGTTGTGCCGCGATTGGCGCTAATTGAAGACAACTTGTTGGACAGATGGCGTTATGGTCATTGGTTACTGGTAACTGGTAACTGGTTAGTGGTCAGAAAGCGGAGCCAACTGCAATCTGTCCCCTGGCTAGTGGACAAACTTTGTCATTGATGATTACCAGACACTGAGAGAAATGAAAACTAAAAAGGGTTTCATTAGTTGGTTAAAGTTTTCTTTTTATGAGAAACTTAATATGCGATTAAATTTTGATTTTTTTAAATTTTTATTTTTTTTTAACTCTTTTTTTCTTTCTGTGTATGATTGCCCCCAAGCCAGCAGCTCAAGAATTATGCGTGACCAACAGTTTCCCAGAGCCACGTTGTCTGGCGTTGTGATTTCCATTTTGTTGATTTTCCTGTTCACTTTGCACTAATCGATTTTCAATATATTTACGCTTAGAAGGCCTTACCACTGCTTTTGGCCAATGCTTTTGTTTTCTGGTTTTTATGAATATTAAAAAATATTCCAAAAAATATTACGCAACTTTTTGATAAATTGTTTTTAGAAACATTTTTGGCAGGCGTACATAGTATTAAACGAGTAATTAAAAGTCCAAAAATTTTTCACTTGCTTGCATTCCAAGAATTTTCAGCACGAGTTGACCCAAATATTTTCGGGCACAAAATTAAGACATTTCAATTGCTGTCACTTAACATCAAGTTCAAGTTCAATTAGGCAGCGTCAATGACTTCGTTTGATACCAAAAAGAAGGAATAAAATATTTTACATTTATTTATATTCTTAAAGAACTTTTTCTGACTCATTTCTAGGCAAGATCTGATTCATCTTGGCCACTTTTATCGATGTGCATAAACAAAGTTTACTACCTGAATCAGCTAGACAATTCGTTTGGCCATGAGTAATCTGAAAATGTGTTTCGAATATTAGTTTTAGCTTTCATTGAGAACATAATTTGTGAATAATTGACAGAGCCAACGACAGAAGTGAACCATAAACCTTTTTCCCCGCCCCCCCCCCAGCTTCATCGATAATTGATTAAGCATATTTCAAATCGCACTGACTAAGGCTAATTAATCAATTTCCATATAATTGGCAGCAAGTAATTGCATAGAAATTGATCAAAATTGTTCGCGCGTTTTGCGTTTTGCCAAATAACACGTATACGACGCATGGGAAATGGAAAATCTCCCCCTCTCTCTCTCTCTATCATATCGCTGTGCAGCGAAGAGTGAAATTCAATTTGTTCCAAAAAAAAAAAAAAAGAAAACCAAAAAAGGAAATTGGCAAAATAGTTTCGGTCACAAAATCGCAACCCGTAATTGCATTTCGCTTTAAAGAGGCTTTAAAATTATGCAAAACGCATTTAAGCTGCAGGCACGAACCACGACGACCATCCATGTCAATGACAGATACCAATCCTCCAGTCCAACCGTCCACCGCCACCAGCCCGTTTGGCCCCTCGGAAACGGCAGCAATTACAGCCACAACAAGTGAAGCGAAATTTGGCCAGAGCAAAGAAACCCCCTCCACTTCCCCCAAACACCCACACAATGTACCCTTCTTAGCCACTCACAAGGCACTGGGAGAAAAGGTGTTGGTAAAGTAGAATGACATTTTATGGTTAAGTATTAGGGAAAAGCAGGATATGTTCATAAAATAGAAAGGATTAAAAAAATCTATTAAAATTCATATTCCTTAAACCCGAAGATTGCCTCAACTTTTCTCCCACTGCCCTGCTCAGATTGTTGCAACTTGCAAGTGCAGTTGCCGTTGCTTCTCGATGGCTCTGCCGATTCTTGTGCATATATAATTTTATGCTTATGCTCATGTTTGCCTTATGGAAATGTGAGATTTTACCACAACCGAAAAGTAAAACATGAGCCGTACAAAAAAAAATTTTAAGGGGAAATGAAAACACAGAGGCGACTTTGGCACTTTGGCACTTTGGACTTTGGAGCTTGGCCATATATTTTATGCAAATTATGCAAAAAGTATGGAAAAAAACGAAGAAGGAAAAGAATTCTGTGTGAGAATACATGACAAAGTTCAATTGTATCAAATTGGTGGAAAACGAATGCCAAAAATAAATGGGCAGAGAAATAAACGAAAATCGAGTGCGACTCCATCAATCATAACCATCAATCAGAAGCGGCAAGAGTAGAGCGAAACTTTGAAGTTTGCGGCATGCCGCATTCAAAGATGAGCAATTTTGTGGTCCATTTCAATTAGAGCACACAGCGAACAGCAAACAGGCCACAAAATGTGGCAAGCAAATAGGCAAAAGTACATATTATTTACAAACCGAAAGTGAGAGAACTCACTTAACAGTTTTCCCAGGAAATTGTTTGACCAAATAAATTCGAATAAAGTTCAGAACTTTCACACGAGAAATTTTTCTATTTTCGATAAATTCACAAGCTCTGATCTCACTTTTCACTCAAACTGTATTAATATGTTCTTGTTATAGCCAGCCGAGTGCCAACTGATGTCACTGCCACTTTCGTCTCATTTATAAATTGCCATTGCAATGGCCAGAATATGCAGCGAATAAAAAGAATTTCACAACGGAAATGAGACATTTCTTTGGCCCATTGTAAGCTTTTCTGATGGACAAGGACAGAGTTATTCATCATCAGTTATAAATATAAATTAAAGAGTTATCTTACCTTAAAGATAAGTTTAATCTTATTTTAAAGTGCAGTATCAAAGGTTGCACTTGCTGACTATAAATGAGATTTTGTTTTAACCCACCCACTTTCAATGCTTATATATTGTTATCCCAAACTAAGCTCTCTCTATAAAACTTTATTTTTAAATTAATTAACTCTACAGGAACTAGGTCAGACACTTGAACTGAGTTTAAGGCTGACATATGGTTAGGAATCTTTGAATCCACCCATCTGCAGGCAGTGCCAAATATTCAGTATGCAGATATGCTAACGAGCAGACAAACAGATTTTGGCATGCTTGAAAGAAAGCTATTTTCGGTGCTATTTTTAAACGCAGACAGACCATAAATTTATGGAGGGGGATTCACAAAAGGTCACTTGAGCATGGAAGCCAAAATCGAGACTTATAAGAATGGTTGAAAAGAATTTTAAATTTAAATCAAAATAAACATTACTAAAAGGGTGTTCATTCGTATTGAGATTGGTAATTTATAACATTAAAAAAAAAAGAATTTTAAAGCCTTTAGATTTGCTGTCTATTCTCCCAAAATCTGTAAGCTTGGACTGTAAATTTTCAAGATTTAACAATAAGTTTCCCAAAATTCCTTTCCACGACTATCATGATTTCTTGTGATTCCCCCTGCCAAGTTCTATCTAAAATTAACTCTATACTGCATTATTCATTGGGGGATTAGCATTTCGTGCAAAGAACATTCTCAAATTTATCACAACTCTTATTGACAAGACGTTTGCAAAAAATTGGGCATCAATTTCATGAACTTCACACGTATCTAAGAGCTGTCAGATGTGTCAGAGTCGCGTCATTTGTCTCATTAAGCCATTATTTCCGCTTCTGGTAGAAATGCTCGCTTGACACTTCTCAAGAGCAATCTTGGCTCAATGTGTCGTACAGTTTTGAATGACATCATGGATCGTTCTGTGCAAATATCATAGTACTATAATGTCTGAGGCGCCGCAGATCGAGCTCAATGACGCTGTCTCCATTAATCACAATCGTTCATATCAGAATCGCCGGCGACAACATCATCAATTGCAGGCCAGACCCAAAACCCACACACAAGACGATCAAATATGCACTGGCACGAGGGCGAATTTTCATTTTCATATATATAATGTGTATATAACATTTCGCGACGTTTGATGGATGGTGGATTGGTAAATGGATGTGCTCCAGGAGGAGTCAGGGAGTCAATCAATGGGCCAGGCGGAATGTCAGCCAGACATTCGATTTAAATTGGTGCTAATACGGGATGTTAGGACAGCGGGAACGAGTCGTCTGTTTGGCTTCTGCAGTTCCTACTTAAAGGCCCTGTTCTTGCCAGCTCCAAAATACAGAACCGACCAAGACTTGTCCGGCATATCGAACACGTTCTCACGCTGATAAACACTGGATAGGAGAAAGATTTAATAATGAGTTTATTTACTACTCTAATTACGATTCCCACCTGGTATCCGAGCTGACCAAGCGCTTACGCTGGTGCTCCGGAATGCAGGTCAGCTTGGGGGTGGGCTTCAACTCCAGGGCGAAGTCGGTCTCAGTAGGATCCATGGCGGCCAGATCATCGCTGGTTATACCATTGCTAGCTAGGCCGAGCTTCTCACCAAATTTAGACGACATTCTGCGTTCCTCGCTTATTTTGGTTTTAAATCGAAAAAAGAAGTAAATGTATTTCTTGAATGGACAATTTATGGTCAAGAGAATTTAAAAGAATCTTAAATTTACGCTGTTTTATATCCAAAAAGGTAATGCAAAAAGAAACGGGTATATGTTTTGAGTATTATTTGTTATTATCAACTGAAAGAGTGCTAGTGTCTGAATCTGACGTTGTAAGACAAGAAATTCAAGGTTACAAATGGATATATTTTTTTAAAATTGATTTTTTAAGCAACGCAGTCTGAGTTGGAGGAATACATAAATTTATTTCTTAAAGAATTTTAAAGACCAAAAAAGCAGCTCCCGGAAAAGTAGGCAATATAATTTCTACAGTCATATTTTGGGAAACCTATCGCGAAGCCTAGAAGTATGCAATACTTTTAATAGATAAAGCAAAATCAATTTCAGTTTATGCCAGCCAATAATGTTTACTTTTCTTCATTAAAACTCAACCATTGCATAATATCTACTCCCTCTTATACTTTATACATCCACCAATAAAAAACTCAATACAAATAGGTTATATATAAAACATTATATATATAATTAATACGGTAAGATTTAGTTCGATTTTTATGTTGATCGATCTTCAGTAGACCCGTACCTGAATGGCCAGGAACCTGCGTCCATTGTTGGTCATCTTATTGATCATGCTCATGGGCAGGAAAATCGAAGATGATCTGCGGAAGATGTGTCCCGCGTCGTTGGGTGCCTTGATATCGTTTATATAGGCGGTATTAACAGCGAAGCAATCGGCCGTATTGCGACCTAGAATGGACCACAGTGAAATGGTAGCCAGTGGTTTCATACCAATCGGCACAATTCCCGTAAGCCAAATGACGAAGAACTCCATATCTGATTTGGGTTTTATCCGACTAATGATCTTGGCAGCTTTTGATCCCATGGGTTCAAAGGTTTTTGATAAATGGGTACGGCCACTCATTAGCAGGATGGGCATAAGATCCTTCATATGCTTGGCTTGGCTGTCAATAACCTTATTCCGAACCATCAAGAGCATATGGCATTTGGGCCTGTCCAATTTTGTTGTATTGCTATCCAGAAAAAAGGTCTTCGTTTGCCTTGATTTGATCCGTTCTACGGTCAGAGTTCGATGATCCTTCAGCAGGTGGTTATTGAAATCGGAGACAAAGAACACACGTTGGCAATCGAAATCGGGACAACGGATTGGAGATCGCGAAACCTGTAGTTCCTCGACCTTTTGCATTTCAGTCAAATGGGTCTTCTTCTCGATCAGATTCAGCACTTCATCTTCCAAACAGGGTATTGTACAAAACAGTGCTTTAGGTGCTCTCAAGATGACTTCGACGGATGCACTCAAGCTTCTGATCAGCCTTACTACGTTTAGCGGATCATTGATTAACCTCGACCGAATTGCCCGCTGCACCGAGGACAGCAGGAAGCACATTCTCGGAGATTTTTCTAACGGCTGCGATCGTTGATAACTATTTGTGGAATGATAAGCATTGGGCATGTCGAATCCAATATTTCCAGGCGAGGCAAAGGGGTTTCTCAGCTGATCCGGGATAGGTATATATTTTCTTTTCTTTCTTGAAATTCTTTTTTGTTTCTTCATTGCTGATGACCTCTCTACCGTGGATTCCGATTTCAAACCTTTATCGTTTTCAGTCACCGTTTCCATTTCACCTTTAGCTTCATGAGGGGGATCTGATGGTTTTTTGTCTTCAGGTTTCAGATTTGTGTCCACCTCGTTTTCTTCCTCTAATGGAACCTCCTCTTCGAGTAAGGTTTTCAGCAGGATCCCTAGAACATCTTTCTTGAACAACTTTTTGCCCTTTTCTTGTTGTTGTTTTTCACTTTTCATTTCAGATACAAGACGTGACAATGTAAAGTGCGCGCCACCACTCTGTCGTTTACTTTGACCCATTGACTCCCGATGATTCTTTCTCTCCAGGATACTCAGTTCCCTTCGTGTCATCTCACATTCCGCATCTAGTTTCATCCGTACTAAGGCCAACTTTTTCATTTTTCGGCGTTTCTCTAAGAGCTTCCTTTGCATTTCAAATATGGTAGAAAACTTTTTGGCGGGTTCCCGGAATTTGTAGTGACTGCCGGATGCAGCCTGTGCCTTGGCTTGCTGGGAAGTTCCTGGTTGGGAAGATCTATCTGAACAGTAGCGACGCTGTAACTTCTTTACGTCCTTGACGGTCAGACTTGGACCATAAGGTTTGGAAGTAGAATCAGAACTTTTAATCTCTTCGGCAGATGTTTTAGATTTTAGTTTCTGTTCATCGCTATCCCCGCCAGTTTTGGCAAAAGGGTTATCCTGTGAAAGACGAATATCCTGTTCAAGGGGTAGCACCGATTTCAAATGATCCGGAGGAGTGGCTCGCAAGAGTTCAATGCCCTTAATCTTTGAAGTTTTTGTACTTCCCTCGACCGATGATGCTTTCTTGGACACTTCAGCAGGACTTGAGTCGCGTGAATTGCCGGCATTGCTTTGCATTGGCTGCAAGCTCGATGCTGGAGTCACGTTATGTGAAGTTTCCGGCGTTTTCTCATCAGTATCCTCGCTTTGCTGATTGCGAATCAAATAGCCATGCCTATTGGGCAGTACACAAAAAGATCCAACTTCCTTTGGAGGATCTACGGCCTCGACGGCCCAATTATTGACACGATCAGCCAGAGTGGCGGCCTGTGAATTCTGGATATCGGATCTTGAATTGGCGATACCTGAAGGCGTTTCAGAAGATATATTTTCCAAACTGCTTTTAAATAGTATCTGTACTGGGTCCGTGCCAATTTGGCACTTTATAAAGAAGGTCAGTTCCCTGCAAAGGTCGCACCAACTGGAGGCGCCCTCTATGTAATCCTCCTTTTCGAATCGGAACTTGTCGCTAGCGTGAGGATTCAAGCTGCTTCTTCGATTACCACAACGACTGCACTCGTACATAATCTAATCAGACATTGAAGATACTACAAACACTTGTTAGATAATTTATAAAAGCGCTACCGAAAAATATTTTCGCTTCCCTAAATGGGGAATGTAAATTTAACGTCAAAAAAAAAATTGAGTTATCGAAACTTGGCAACTTTATCAGGAAAAGATAAAGAAATTAAAGTTTAAGGAAAGAATTTGGAACTACAGCGACTGAAAGGCTACTTCATACTTTAAATAAGAGAAATCTTAAAGAATAACATTTCATTTTTAGATTCATTCAACCTTCTTTTTATGCAAATTCTGAGAGAAGAAAACCATTGCAAATAAAACCTTTTATTCTTCAGCTTATATGGGATTTTTTGCTCGAATGATTGTTTGCTTTTCCGGTCCGGCCCCTTGAAGATGCGGAGACATCTTCGGACAGGTTTCTGGACAATCCATCCATTGACCGTGAAATCCGCTAGCGAAGGTCAGTGGGGGAAGTGCCAAATTCACAGAGTGAAAAGCAAATGTTAGGGAACCTTGAATTCCCAGACCAGCCATGCTCCAGTTTATACGCCTCGAGCCGGAGCTCTCGTGCCCAATTGAGATTGTCAAACGCCCCGTCAAGTGCCACCTGTCAGCAGGTGAAGACCGAAGTAATGAGAGAAGAAACGCTGAAAATGGATAAATGAGCAAACTTTTAATGAAGAATATTTAATACCCTCTTTTAAATATTACATCGTGACTATGAAAACCAGAGGAAAAATAAATAAAACGCATTAATCGCTTGTTTATATTAAACCTTTTTTTAAAATACGTATTTACTCTGATAGTTTAGCTTCCTCGTGGGCATTAAAAATCGTAATTACCTTCCGCAAGGGTACGAAGACAACCAAAAGCGGCTTAAACTGAGTCCAATTGACTCGGATCGGATGGGATCGAATGGCTTCGCCTTGCTTGGCGGCCAGTGGCGATGATTCAGCTCGAATAGTTGGACATTTGGGCATTCGAATGTTTGTTTGTTTGACTGTTTGTTGAGATGCGCCAAAATCGAAACCAACGCCGAAAATCGATGACAATTCGATGGTCTGCGCAAATAACGGAACCCGCCCCAAAGCCCACTGTTTGAACTTATCGGACTGGACACGAAGGTCTCATCTGAAGCTCTGTACTCGTATAAATATCATCACTTCCAACTCTTCAGACATCAGACGCTTCACAGCTAAACATCCAACAAGATGGTAAGTACTCACACTGGGAAATAGAAGCCTCTAAAAGCGATAACTAAAGGATATAGGAATAACATCGAACACCATTCTCATTCCTCTCAGAAAACCTTCTGCCTGACCCTCGCTTTGTGTGCCTGCCTGGCAGCCGCCGATGTGTCCCATCTGCAGCCCAGCAGCAGCTACCTTCCTCCTGCTCGTCCAGAGCACGCAGTGTCCATGAGCATTGAGCCACAGGAGCTGCGTGAGCTGCCCGAACAGGTGGAGTACATGCGTCCCAATGAACAGGGTCAGATGGAGGCAATGCCCAGCAGTCTGCTAACTCCTCCCGAACCAGTGAATCAGGAAGAAGCACTGCCCTCCACTCGCTACCTGCCCCCTGCACCCGTTCCAGTCCAAATGGATGCCGAGCCCATGATGATGCCCCAGATGGAGATGATTGCTCCCGAAGAAACTATCGTGGAGAAGATCCAGCAGCAGCCCGAGCCTGCTAATCGCTACCTGCCCCCTGCCCCAGCTGCCGAGCAGCAGTTGACCTACCAGCAATACCAGGAGCAGATGCAGCAGTTCCAGATGCAAGAACAGCAGCAGGATCAGCCCCAGGAGCAACCAGCTGAGGAAGAGCAGCAGATGCCCTACATTCTGGATGTCCAGCAGCCCATGGCTCCATCCGATGTAGAGACTCAAGAGCAATTGGAACCCGAGCCCGCCCACGAACTTCGTGCCGATGGCTATCACTACAAGCAGGCCGATGAGCAGCATCGTCTGCGACATTAAGTCACCCAAAATTGAGTCACCGGATGACGACATTGAGTCATCTGATTCTGCGTCATCCGATTGTTGTTAAATGTTTAGCTTAGTTCTTAGAGAACCGATTAAATTTCGACTTTGAAGAGTAGTCGTCTTTGATTATCTTTCGGGTTTCTATTAGTCACGGAGTTGGTTTGTCTTTATACAGAAACCTTTAACATATATATAGAAGATAGAAATATATATATAGAAAAATCTTTATTTATACCAATCATATTATTCAAACAATTATAAACTAGAATCTTAGCCTGTGACCCAACGAATACCAAAAGAATCTCCTCCTATTCATATTCTTTAAAAGGCAGCCTCTTCGCCGCCCTCCTCCTCCTCGTTCTCCACGGTGGCTCCTTCACGCAGCATCTCAACCTTGTGGATGCTAAAGTCGATGTTGTAGAATGGTACATTCAGGGTGACCACCACACAGTAGAGCAGCACCTGGAGATGTCGGGTGCGCAGCATATAAGAGGCACCCTGTTGCTTGGGGAATAGTGGATGGTCCTTCTCCTGACAATCGTACATGAAGTAACCACCGTCGTGACCAGGACAGAAGCCAATGGCCAGTGACCTCTTCCGCACACTGATTATTCCAAACTGATAGTGACTGAAGAAGTAGATCAAAGCCTCGGAGAGATTCATACGGTTGAAAGTGGGCGCCCTGTAAAGTTTTCCATAGCACACATGCTCGATGTGCACCACAAAGTTGATGGTGTCCATGGAGCAGTCGATATTGAGATTCTCCAGCGAGAATTCGTAGTCCTCCTTGCTGATCTGATCGATGCTCTCCTTGAAGTACGTATTTCCGCTGACTACAATGGTGTCCAGGAGATGAGGACTCCAGTCCATTAACCGATACACACTGGCTGCACAACAGGCCATCACATAGCAACCCAGATACTGACGACCTCTGACCTCGTCGTCGAAGACTGGAGCCTCCGGATGGAGATTGCCCCACAAAGACCACAAACGACCCTCGATCTCGATGTCGAACTTCTTGATCTTGCTGATAGGCAGATTGCGATACTTGCCCGCCGTATTTCGGCGGTTCAACCTGCTCCACACGGGCAGGCAGTTCTCCAATTCCAGCCATCCAAGGGATTCATTGGTGGCGCAGATCTCATACTCTGGACTTCCGTACTGCTTATTGCTGCATGTCATCGGTATCGAGAGATCGGTAAGCAGTTGGAGGATTCTGGCATTCGGTGCCGCCTTCTTGTGGGACAGGACATCAACGACGAAGAACTTATACAGGTTCTTCTCCTTCCAGTTCTTAGCGGCACTTCGATCGTCAATGTACTTCAGCAAGGAATCTATATCATAGAGGAGAACCCATGAGGCGGTGTTTCTTTCGGGCCATCGCTTTGGTCCCTTAGGACAACGTTTCTTTTTCTTTCCACCCTCCTCATCACCATCGTCGTCCTCCTGCTCCTCATCTCCCCCTGGTTTCTCCATACTGCCATAGGGATCAAACAGATGGAAGAACTCGTCGTGATAGATGGCATAACTTCCATTGGGCGTAAAGATGATCATGTATTTCCGCAAATTAAGCAGTTTGCCAAACTTCTTCTTGAAAAGCATTAGACCCACTTCCGGACTACCTGGTTTCTTTACCGGTGATGGTGTCCACATGCCCGCCGGCTCAAAGCACCGGATCCAGATATCAAATTCGTAATCATCGATGGTAACGTGGCGAACGACCCGTTCAAACACAGATTCCAGTTCACAGACACCCGTGGCAATCGTCTTGGCATTGTTGATCACCCTATCGATCCGGTAAGAGTTCCATTGGTTCAAAGGCCGCAGAGAGCAACTGATGATGGCCAGGGCGGATGCGAAGTAGCACGGTTTGATCGTCTTGAAGGAGCCCTCATCACGGCCCTCGAGTGCCAGGCTGCCTTGGATCTTGAAGTTGCAGTCCTTCTCTCGCATTCTGTAGCCAAACATGATGGGACGTGGCTTGTAGGCACGGCGAAGTTCCTTTGGTAGCTTCTTGCCAGGACGGTGCTTCAGCTCCACCTCTTCCTCGCCTTCGCCTTCCTCCTCGCCCTCCTCATCGCCAAGCATGTCCTCTTCCTCGTCGCCCTCTTCGCCTTCGGCCTCGTCGATGCCAATGTCTTTGTACTCGGCTAAAAGGGAAAGAGAAAGGTTTTAAAGTCGCTTTTTCCTACTAGGCCAAGAAAAACGTACCGGACAATCACTACACAAATTTCTACACAAAATAATAATAAGTCTTAAACGAATTGACAAATAATTCTATCCTCATACTCATATTTTAATATATCAAATAGCTTTACTTACGTTTAATTCCCGCCTTGCGGTCCATGTGCTCCTGTTTGGCCTTGAGGAACAACTGGATGCGTTCGTTCTCCTTCCTGAGCTCCTCATCGATGTAACGCATCTTCTCCAACCGTTGATCACGCAGCTTCTTCTGCCTCGCCGTCTCCTGTTTAACCTCCTTGTCATCATCAGCCTTGCCCCAGGGACGGAAACGGCCATGAAGATTATTATCCACCATTTGGATGCAGGCCACGATGAAGTTCATCACTGAACAGCCCTGAGGATTGCAGCCAAATTCAATACGCTTGATCAGAGCATCCAGTTCCAGGAAACGAAGGAGACAAGCTGGCCCAGAACCACCTTTCCTATAACCAATGGCATTGCAGGGGAATCCAATGAACATATACACAAAGTTATAACGCTTAAATATCACGCAGGAGAAACGCTGGCACACGAGGAGTAGTCTGTTATTATCCACCAAAAGATCCACTAGAACCTGGCGGAGAGGTACCATCATCGAGGACTTGACCACCTTCTTTACCTCCAAACTGAAGTTGCTCTCGCCGATGGCAATATCAGGTAGCTTCTTGGCCAAAAGACAGGCCAAGATGTATTCGTAGTTCTGGTAATCTTCACCAAAGCTGTTCGCTGATTCCAGTGAGAACTCAATTAAGTCAGCATTCCAGGTGGATAGTTTGTACTTCGAGGACACAGCCATGGCCACCAAGCCAGCCAGGAGTCCTCCGAGTTTAGCCATTTCCTCATCCAACTGAGGAAGTTGCGTGGTGCCCATAATGATCCAGGAGCCATCTGGTAACGCATTAAAGTTGCTTTTAAGAGCTAGCTCTTCCTCCACCGTGAGAACCCTCTTCAGATCTTCCTCCTCCTCCTGGCCAAGCTCATAGCCTCGCTTAATCTTCAGTCTTAGGGCCTTGAGATTCTCCTGATCTGTACGTAGAAGTACCTTTTGCGCAGGCTTGTAGAGATTTGGCCTCTTGGTTTGTGGCTCTGGCAGTTCTTTAATAATCATATTGATGATCATGTTTATCAACTCCTGAGCCATCTCCTTTTCATCCACCGTGGGGAAGCGATCCTCCTCTGGAATGCTTTCAATGCTCTTCTTCTGCTTCAACTCTGGCAACGGTGGCTCATCTGTGAATGTGGGCAGGCCCATCTGTAGACCGGGGAATTTGTTCGTCTGCGGGGTCATCACCTGCAAAGGTCGGATACAGCCTGTCCGAATGCCATGGATGAAGAATTTGCCACCACGTCGCATCTTCAAGGCATTCATGTAGATCACGCGGACAAAGGAATCGAAGGTGGCGTGTATCTGCAGTACAGCTAGACCCTTGATGGTATAATCATCTGGATCCACGACCAGACCCGTTCGATTTCTCCTGAAAGGATCGAAAACGTAAAAGAATTCCCTGTCCCGCCAAACAGCCATCACTGAATTATCTATCTGGAGCAGCGCCGAAGGCCACTGGGGCATGTTGAACAACTGATGCAGGGCCATCGTAAGCTGGGATTCCAAATAGTTCCTGCAATCCGCCACATGACCATTGATCATAAAGGGATGCTTGCGAACCGTGGCTTTAAAAGCACCCATTAGGAACATTTCCGGTAGATCCACAACGTTCAAATGGGGCTTCTTGTTCTTCCAGCGTTTACCATCCAGCCGAAACTTCTTTCGCAGAGTCTTGTAGTAGGCAACACCATACCTTATGATATCATCTACTGTTTCGGGTTTCCACAGTTTAGCCAGCTCGAATTCTGAGTAAATCAAGGCTATCAAGGATACAACCAACGAGGCATTCTTCTCATTTCCTGAGATGGGCTGGTGTATTCCACCCGTTCCTGCAGTTTTCACCGCAAAGTTCTCGTTGACCACCGCCCAGAGTTTATGATACTCCTCGTTCTCTGCTGGTGCAATTGGTGCTTCCTTTAGCTTACCATACTGAATCAAGGAAATTTCAAAGATATTAAACTCATCCTGTGGCTGGAGATCACTGAACTTGGTGATCAGATGCACCAAGTGCTCTGTAAAACGAGTGGCCATCAGTGAGCACTTTCCTTCCTCAAAATCCCGTTCACAGTTTTCATCCCTTCCATTGGGATCAAAGATATAGTAAGAGTTTAGGCAACGTTTCCAAATCAACAGGTAGAGATCCCGGGATGTAAAGATGCAGGCATTGTATTTTGAAAAGAATAGCGACAGAGCCTTATACATATTTGGTTCGTTTTTTAACAGTCCGGAAAAGTGGATCTTAATCTCCACGGCAGCGTCTCGTTCAACTACCTGTTCGATAATATCAAAGTCGTTCGTCTGTGACTTGTAGTTTAGGTCGGCGCTTTTTTTGGTTAACTTCACACCGCGCTTAAGGATACCGTCCATAGTGCCTCCTGTCCAGAAATCGGGATTCAAACGAAAGGTCTCCACGAAGGCTATTATGATGGCCCCAATTTCACTTGGCCGATTATAGTATCTGAAAGGAAAGGAAAGAGGAGTCATATACTCGTATGGAGTAACAGTGAAAATCATTCATGGGATACTCACTGCAATCGGTTAGATTCAAGCTTTGGTTCGGGATAGATATTTCGATTTCCAAACACAATTTCCGCCGTGAAAGTCTTTTCCAGCTGCTGGGGTATATTATAGAGCGTGAGTTCGCCGTCGTTTTCTGCAAATTTTCGATGAAGCTAGATTAGAATAGCCAAGCTCTATGTGAAAGAAAGTCTCTGAATGAATACACACCATATTTGGGCAGGGAGGCTTGGATAAACTCCTGATCCAGTTCCTCTTCCCTCTTCTGGTAGCCCACATTCCAGGTCCACAAATCCTGTGGACTGCATCCTTCGATAATGTCGAAGGTCTTGATGTTCTCGCCCTCTAGGCCCTCTTGGAGGACACGCGGATTATAGGAAGGAAAAGGTAACTCCTCCAAGGGGCCAACTTCGGTCTCGTTCAAGTAGATTCGACTCTTGGGACGTTTTAGCTCCAGCTGTTTACGAGAATGATTATATTAATTAATTAAGAGAGATTGTAAGCGTTTCTTACAAGGTTAAACGTAATGCGTATTAGTCATCAACATAATAAGGGTTTCAAATCAATAAAAAATAAATTAAACAAAGAGTAATACGACAAATAGTAAACAAAAGGCGTAGTTTAACCCAAATAAAGTTAGGATATGGCTAGCAAATGGAATTATTCAGAGACATAATAGCCTTAGTTGGCGATTGGGTAACATATGGCCAGTTATCAGCGCTTGGCTCTGTGCAAGCTCTGTGCTTTCACTCGGCGACTCTGTTTTCCTGGCCATGGCCATAAGCTTTTAATACGGCTGAAAATAGCACGCATACGCCACCGATGCCCGACGCCCCTTATATAGGAGACGTTTTTGTTTGTCTTGGTTTTTGTATAGTATGGTATCGTATTGTATGTTATGTGTACTAGAGGCCTGTTTCATGTTTTTTTTTCTTTCCTCTTTTGCTATTTGCGCTCATCAAGAAGTTAGTAAGCGGCATAAGGTAAGCACGAAATGCCAACTAGATTGACTATAACGACCTGATGTCGCCGCGCTATATGCGGTATATGCTATATGTGTGTATGTTTGTATGGGTTTCGGGGTGCGTCCGTATAAGTGAGTGTGCCTCTATGGCTGGCTGGCCACGATGACGGCCACCAAACAACAGAGGCGTCCCATGCACAGAGCAGTAAACAACGAACAGCGCTTAGTGCCACATCACGGAATCTTATCGCTCTCGTTCGACCAAAAACCAAAAACCCAACCAAAACCGACGACTACTATAGCCCCGAGACCAGAAAACCCGGACCACCGAGCAAACACGAAGCTGCCTCGGCTCGGCTGCAGAACAAACAAGTCATCTAGTAGCGTGCTGTTGCTGCAGCAACAACAGAAACAACAGCAACAGAAATCGAGACATATAGTACAACGGCGAACCAGGTGAACCAGGTGAGCGTCGCAGTATCGCGCAGTTATAGCATACGACCACGTCAATACCAATACTAATACCAATAACAGAGCGCAGTTGCCAACAATACAAGTACAAGTACAAGTCGGTTCCAATTCCAACTACGCAACCCTCTTGAATAGCCGCGCTGGCAAAATGTCAAACTAGCTAGTGGGGTTACGATGAGGCAGGGGATCTGAGGCAATTACGGGTACGGGGACTTCAGACCCAAGATCTTTGCAAAGACAAATGAGCTGGGATGTCAACTTAAAAATAGCTTTTGTATCTTCGGTTACTTAATGACTTAATAAGATCCTTAAGGCATGATTTTTATTCCAAATTTATTTATTTACACTGAAACTTTATCAGTAATTCACCAATACAGAACTATTTCTTCAATAAATAAGAGTTTATCCTTAATTACAGTATCATAATTATCTTAAAATATTATTCATTTTAGCTTACCTAGAAAAGCAACACCCATTTTGCAGTAACTCTGAAAAAAAGAACTGATGAAGTAATCAATTTAAAGGCAGCTGTTCCCATCAAAGATGCTGAGGCTGCAAAAGCAATCTTGGTGATGGCTTTGAATTCGAATTAAAATTGGTATTTGCCAGGTGCAGCCGCCCAACGAAAACTCATGGACACATGCAAGTATATGTATACGGATGCCGAGCTAAAGTGTTCAGCAAACAAACGACCGCAGGCGGCGCCCCTGAGAAAAGGGAATGGCTGCAAAAGGCAGAGGTGTTTCCAAGAGGGGTTTATATAAGTATATAAGTCAAAGCTAAATTAAAAGGTATTCAGGATCCTTTACATATAACCTTGAATATTCTTTCTTAAATGTTCTTTTTAAAACTATAACTTCAAGTTGTTTGTTATAGCATCCTTATATTCAAGGTTAAGTTAAACAACTAAATATAGGATATTAAAAAAGTCCTTGAAATAAACGTTGAAATTAATTATTGTTAAGGAACTCCAAAGATCTTATAAGAATCAAAATTGCTTTTTGTCTATTGATAACGCACTGGCTATAAACGATCATAAAACATTGGATCGTGATTATATCACTTCGAGTACCAAACGTTTTGTTCAAAAGGTAAAAGTAGACAGGCTCTTATCTGTGGCGCACAGTTAATTGGCCAAGATAGAGAGAGGTTTCTGCAGCCAGCCAAACGAATAGGAATCGAATCATAATTGTTAAACCACCATCATATAGCCTTGCCACCCCCTGCCTGCATCGCCCACGCCCCTTTCCCCCCAACGACAACAATTGAGACATATAACAAACAACACACGCGGCAAAACGCAATCGCAAATGAAACAAAAGCGTGGCGACTGCAGTCGCACTGCTTTTGCATATGCCCACTGCACAATGCACTAGACCAACAACCGTAACACCTACGGTCAACAACATAGTGGTCAATCGAGGGTTTAAGCAAAGATAAATAATCAAAGGATAAGCCTAGTAGTATTTTTTTTATTATGTAAAAGTGAGTGTGACCGATGTTCCAAAAAGTTTTTTTCATAATTTACAGGATTGATTGGTTGTCAAATAAAGAATAGTAAAAACCTAAAGCTTTGAATATGGGAAATATGATAAATACACTAAACCGTTTTTCATAAATATATTTACATATTTACAAATCTTAAAGAAGTTGTAGAAGTAATTATCTATACTATTACCACGGTACCTATAGTAACTGTTGATATTCCTAATGTTCTTATGCTTGCGTTTCTGTACCCAAGAATTATTTCTTATCTGCTGTTGGAATGCGATCCGAAAAACTGCCAATCAGTTGAACTAAAACCATTGTCTAGAGCTGTAATTGTTTACTTTTGAGGTAATTAACAAGTGAAAATTACTAATATTTTAACCACTACTGTGCTGAAGTAACAGCTGCAAGAACCGTTTGTGTTGCTACAACGGCAACAACAACAAACACCACGCAAAAGGGACTTAGCATAGTGAACCGTTTTTATTTCATACGGAGCGAGCAAAGAACGGACACACACGCACACTTGCACACAGATAGACGCGAAGAGCGGAACAAACAACAACAAAACAAAAAAAGAAACAGGGCGCACAAGTGTGTTATTACTCAGTAATTGTAAAAATGTCAGAGCCGCAACAACAATAGCCAGGCGAATTTGAGAACGTGCCGTGACAACGCTCATAAAAAAATGTGACTAATAAACGCTTCGCAATTTGCATGGGCAGTATTAATAATGCTTTTATTTCTATTTTATTGCCTTTTTCTTTCTGGCAGCTTCAAAAGGAGTCTCAAATACGCACATGCTCGCCATCTCTCTCTGACGCACGATCTTTGGGGCGAGCAGGCGAAACAACAACAATAACAGCGCAAGAAGCTGCTGCGCATTTAGTGTAAAAGAAGAAGAGGAGTAGAAGTACAAAGAAAAGGAATAAGAAGGAGAAGAAGCGAAAAACTTAAAACTACTATTGAAATGGCAGCTATTGCGGCATTACCAACAACTACGTTGCGTCGCAACAACAACAATAACAGCAACAACAAAGGGGTGAGTAGTCCCAAAGGAGAAGCCAGATATGTTTGTTAACTTGGCCTTTAAGCGGTCTGCTGAGGGTGGATTTTACAACTTGCCTCAAGTGGGCAGCGCGAGCGTCAGACAAGCACGCGCTAAACTGTAAATATACATTTGTATGTACATATGTATGTAAGTAGATATCTACACTTACATATATTTACATACATATGTATGTATGTATATTTACCCTTGAGCATTTTGCTTTGGAAACAAGGACTTTTATACATATGTATTTACATTATATACACACCTTGCACGAGATCTTTTATAGAGTTGTCTTTACAAAAAGGATAAACTTGTTTTATAGAGTTGTAAAGTTTTGCTTGTCGAAATGTTTTAATATTATTCGTTCCTATTTTTCCACCTTAAAAAATAACCTACTTAAAGTGCACATGTGTATGAATATCTATGTATATTACGCCCAAAATTTTAACTAATTTTATATTATTTCCTTTTTCTTAGATAAAATCCCGTCGAAATGAGCGTAATATTCTAACTTTCTACGAAAAAATTGCTGTCATCCGCTACTATGAGGAGACAAATATATCGAGGAACAGCCTGGCCAAGATGTTCCACTGCTGTGCCACCCAAATTCGTCGAATCCTGGACAAGAAGAAGGACTTGCTCCAGCAATTGGCTACTCTCAGCGAGGCAGATGCCTCTATAATAATCGAAGAGATGACGCGTAAACGCCGGAAGTTTGAGATGAGTGCCATTAGTTTCCTTCTGCACGAGTGGGTGGAAAGATGCACTCAACTCCGCTTGAAAATCAGCATAAGAAACCAAAAACTAAAGGAAACAGCCACCCGAATGGCGGCAATTTTAAACCTTCCATCCTTTAGACCCTCTTATCGTTGGCTGAACCGATTCCGGGGAAAGTACAAGTACGAGGCCGATGAGTTGGGCTACCAGGGTGAGAATCCCTTAAACCAAGATCTGCCTGTCGAGGAGATTATTGTAGAGTTTAAGCATGCATTGCCGAACTTCATGCAACGGGAACTGGCCGATTCAACTGAAGGCGTCACAAATGAACCAGTCATACCGGATTTTGTTAATCTCTCCAGTGAGAATAGTCTTATGTCAGATCATCTTGATGAGGATGATGATGTGGAGTTGGTAACTTGTGAGCCCACTATGATTCCCTCACCAGCCAGCGTGCCAGAAGTGGAGAAGCAGGACGCACTTTCCCCCCAAGAAGAACAGGAAAACCTGGATGATCAGATGAATGCCGGCACGAGCACCCTACTGAATGGCGTTTTTCCGCACCTGGCAATTATCCATCAGTTCGCTCTGATGAATTCGGATATCCAGGCATTGGAACTCATTTCTCAGCTGGGAGTACATATGCAACAGCAGGCTGTTTCTGGAGCTTATCGCACCTTGTCGCTGGCTTCGACAAATGGAGATGGGCAAACGGAACAAGGATCCAACTCTCTGCCGGAACTGCCACCGGGCAGCATTTACGCGGACATCGATGACATTGAGTTAATTGAGTAGAAACACAAAATAAAAATATACTAAGCTAGCCTAAGCTTCAATGCCATAATTTAATCAGTGGTCTGTTATTAATGATCAACAAGTTAAAAGGTTAAGATTTTTTGAGCTATAACATGAAAGCTATTTCTTTTATTTTTAATGGAGTCGTATTTTATTTATTGAAAGTACTTATATTGAAATCAATGTTTTTTTTTCTTTAAGAGAACTTATTTCTTATTAATTTATAATCAAAAAGGATTTGATTTACTTAAAAAACAATAAACAAGCACTGCTTATGATGTAAAAATAATTGCATATCATTTCAATTTTTGAAGATATTTAGGCTTACCATGCGTTTATCTGGAATAATAATCATATCCGAGCTGCATTCTGGGGTGGCTAGTTGTGGCTTGACCTCCCCCTCCTCCTCTTCCTCACCCTCCTCGGCCTGTTGCTCTTCCTCGCCCATGTCCATGGGACTGTTAAGAACCACCAAGTCCTTGGGGCATGTCCTGTCAACTCTGGCGTCGTGCTCAACTAGGCCAAAATCCTTGCGAGCGGCCAATAAGCGCTCTCGCATCTCGGCGTGAGTTTTCAACTCTGCCGGAGTACGTTGCGGTATAATGCACATGGTGTACTCATCGTACAAGGCACATTGTTTCTTAAAGGGACGTATGAATCGAGACTCCTCCGCCTTTTGATGGATGCGACGAAGTTCATCTTCGATGGTCAGTACTTGGGAGATCGTGGAGTTAGCTGGCTTCTTCTGGCACACGCGATCGCGAGGCGGACAGTTTTCTGCCTTCCATTCCGGCGACGTTTCGTTGCCCAGAAAGGTTCGAACCTCATACGGATTCGCAGAGGGACTGCAATCCGCGTTAACTTCCACGAATTTTTTCAACATTTTTGCAAAACACTTATGATTTTGCAGGAGTTGGGAATAAAACTAGTAATTTTGTAGCTCGACACGTTAGTTATGTTTTGAATAAAACATTTGAGTGACTCGTTAAAATGATAATATTAAAGGAAAGTCAAAGTTTACTGAATGTTTATGTTTACGAAGTGCTAACAGTTATTCAAATATTTCGCGGTTTGCGTCCATTCACAATAGATCACTTCGTTCTTGGTGGGTTTTTGAGTTTTCCAGTCAACGGGCACACTAGCCACAAAAACAACAATCAGCGCTCGATGCAGTATTAAACAAAGAGTAATTTTTGATTTTGGGCCTCGCACGGGCTAAAAACAATCGAGATGTGGATACAGCCCAAGGAGCTGCTCCTGCCCTCGGCATTTTGGTGAGCAATCTAAATCAAATCCAAACCTAAATCGAGCAAATGCCGAAAATCTAAATTAAACATGCCCCCATCAGTGTGTGGGTGAGATGGATGGGCATGTGTATATGCAATGTTGTGTTTATGGAAGGTGTCTCATGGAATGTGATTATCACGAAATGCATGCCGCAAGGCGCTGCTTTAAACGCGATTTAAAGCTACGCATAAACGTCGTACTTGCAGTTAGTTTAATTGCATTTGTTGATAACTAATTGAGCCGAAAGTTCAAGACTCCAACTCTTTGAATCGACGATTCTGATTTCGCAACGCAAAAAAAGGCAGCTGTGCAAAGTCAGCGGCAGCAGCAGCCGCAGCTTGAAAATTGATTTCCAACTGTTTCCTGCTGCGTAAAAAAATTAAAGAGGCCCCCTACCACCTAGAAAATTCCCTATAAACCACTTGATAAACCGATTATAAAAACCCGCCTTCTTGCCGCCCACAGGATTGCCGAGATGCACTCAACATACTTTGTCCTACAGAAGCGACGTGGTCATGGGGAATCCCGTGGCTTTGGTTCCATGTTGGTTGGAACCTACGACAGTGTAATGAACACCAAACCGGCTCCATATCGCATACTCCATCAAACACCATCATCGGAGGTGTCTTACGGTAGGTTCAATAACTCGAACTCATCTGCTTTATCAGTTCCAGTTCCTGGAGTCTATGTCCAGCAATCTGTGACCGTGAATCATCGGGCTTCGCCTCGCTTTTATGGGAGTATGCCTATATTTCTTTCATCTACGGTTCCCTCACAGCGCTTACGTAAACATGGAATGAAGCTGATTACAAAAGCTTCGGAGGCTGACTTATTTCTTTTGTTATTTAATTTCAAATATATTAAGAATGAAAGGCTATAGCATACTCCTATAGTACATGAAATTCTGAAAAAACACAAGGGAATCATTATTATCATTACCTATCCAAAAACGATAAAAATTTCTTACATTTATTGTCTTCATTCTTTCCGCAAATCTTTGAATATTATAAAACATTTTCAACAAAAGGTCAACTAAGAAGGTAAATTAATGATTAACATTTTTGTTCGACAGAAATCGCCATTGGCATTACCCAGGATGAGATAGTTAAGGACTGGGAATGGCTGAAGGCAAATCTCTTTAAAGTTCTGGACGAGATGGAGAACGAAGACGAGGTGACCAACTTCACCATATGCAAGATCCAATCTCTCTTTACGCAAAACAATCAAGACGACAGTGGCGAATCAGCCGATTTCAAGGTGATGAAATCAAAATTCAGGCAGATTTTCAAAATGCCCGAGGAAGAGCGACTTGTTAACTGCTACTCGGCCACGTAAGTTTAATCTAATATTTATTTAGAACTCTTAATTACAGATTAGTAAATGCATTTCAGATATGTTAAAAACAAGATTCCAAGACAGGGTCAGCTCTACATATCGCTGAATCACGTTTGCTTCTACTCATATATGCTGGGCCAGGAGATAAAGCGCATAATACGTTTTGCAGAGCTGGAGGACATTAGCCGAAATGCGAATACCATCTATCTAAAAACCACCAATAATATGACCTACAATTTCACAATGCTCTTTAACGCTAGTGAGGCGCATCTATTGATCGAGCAGCTCAACAAAATGGCAATTCAGCAACTTATCCATGATCCTGACAGTCCCGTGGTCGACCACGATACTTCTAACTTCGCACGGTTGGGTGCCAAAACTTCAAAGAAGCCCGTCCTGCTGCGTGACTTGACAGCTCGCCAGAAATCCGAGGAGTTTCGCATTTATTTCCGACTGCCACAGTCGGAGATCATCGACGGGAAGATCAAGGCAAACATTTGGACACCTTACTCAAAGCGCTTTAATTCTGGGTTTATATATCTTTCGCCGAATTTCTTTTGCTTCCGTAGCGATGTTAAGGATTTGGTCAGCGTTGTTATACCCATGAAGACCATTAAGGTGGGTATTGCATTTTGATTTTAAGATTGGTTTGCTTAAGTCACCAATTTTTGTAGAGTGTGGAAAAGAAGGATGATGGTCAACAGCGGTTCGAAAATCAAATTGTAATTATTACATCAGAGAATGTGCCTTTCATGTTTGCTCATATCGTGGACAGGGATGTACTGATATCCAAGATCACAGATCTTCTCGCACGAATTCATGTGTAAGTATAGATGTACTATGTAACTCCTTAGGTCAGTAATTAAAGTTAATTCCCTTAGTCCTGTGAGTCGCGAACGGGCCAAGTATGACATTTCATGGAGCAAACAGACAGCTCTGATGAACACATTTAAGACGCAGTTTAGCTCGGAAATTATACAAAAGCAGGAGGAGAAGATGGTGCGCTGGGAGGCACATTTCAGAGACTTTGGACGAGGCATTGGTATGTTCCGCACCACGGACGTGATAAATCTAATAGTGGAGGGCATTCCCGACAAACTGCGTCAGGAGATCTGGCTGATCTTCTCGGGGGCGATTCATGACAAGGAGATGAATCCGGGACTTTACGAGGATCTGGTAGAGAAAGCGGCTTGCATCAAAAATTGCTTTGCCCATGACGAAATCGATAGGGATTTGCCGCGTTCGCTGCCCGAACATCCGGCTTTCCAAAGCACGGATGGCATTGGAGCTTTAAGAAGAGTCCTGCAGGCCTATGCGTTGCGCAATCCGCAAGTGGGATACTGCCAGGCCATGAACATTGTGTCGTCTGTGTTCCTACTCTTCTGCGACGAGGAGAATGCCTTCTGGATGTTGGCTAGCCTGTGTGAGAACCTACTGCCGGACTATTACAAGGATAAGGTGGTGGGCGCCCAGATTGATCAGGGTGTGCTTAACGAGCTGGTAGAGACGCATTTGGCTGATTTGCACGGACATCTTGAACAGCTGGGAGTTATTAAGATGATTTCCATTTCCTGGTTCCTAACCATTTTTATGAGCGTGATCAGCTACGAAAGCTCATTGCACATTCTAGACTGCTTCTTTTATGAAGGCGCCAAGATTATCTTCATGATCTCCCTGCAGATTATTGAGTGGAATAGGGAAAAACTTCTGCAGTGTCAGGATGATGGAGAAGCTATGCTGGTATTGCAGAACTATCTGGAGGGGATCTACAACCCAGAATACCAGGTTCCTCCAACGACAGACAAGCGGAAGATGGAACGTAAAGTCCAAACCCAAACAGTACAGACCCTGATCCATGAGGCGTACACAAAGTTCGGAGAGGAGATCACCCAGCAACGCATTGAGGAACTTCGTAACAAGCATCGTCGGTTGACCATGCGGCAGTTCGATATCGACAACGAGAAGACCATTGTAAAGGCCTACGTCCAGAATCCGTACTTCAGTCGCAACGAACTGCACATGCTGCTAACCATAATTCGGGAGGAGAAACACGCCCTGAAATCTTTGCAACAACAGCAGCAAAAGGCTCAATGCCCGTTGTCAGAGATGCCACAGCTGGTGCCGCAATCGCCTAGCAGACCGGTCCAGGATGCTAGCACTTCTGGAGGCAGACACGAGGCCTACAGTGTCAACTATGAGGTGTTCCACACACTCTTTACAGAACTGACACCATGGCGCAAGTGTGTCAGCGTGGACATTGGCGAAAAGTTGTTTAGAGTAAGTTATACGCCGAGACTTAAATTGGAATTAATCTGTATGTTATTGTCTTCTTTCTTCAGCTCACCGATAAGAGAAACACAGGTTTTCTAGACTTTGGTCAACTCATAAACGCCTTGGGTCTGGTTTGCTCCACCAAGAATATGGAGAAACTGAAGCTGCTGTATGTCCTGCATCTGCCGCCTCTTCTGTCCAAAGCGGAGATCGAAAGATCGCGGCGCCCGCGTCCACGCACTAAAGATGACGCCGAGGAAGCTTACGAAGCGGAGGACTTTTTTGAGTGAGTGTTTTGTTTTTAAAATATGCAATACTTCATTTAATTAAATCATTTCATAAATCTATACATTATATATTTCAAAAACAATGAAGATTCCACTAATACTTTTTTTGTTACTTTAGCAACGATGCCTCAGAGTCGATGGAGGCGTTGCCTTCGCCCTCGGATCACAACTTTGATGCTGATGACTTTGCCTTGATCACTGCTACACAGCACCTGCACAACTTGGCTGGAATCTCGGGAAATACGTTCATGGATCTATCGCGTACTCCAAATCTTTCGCTGAACTCCAATACCTCTTCGTTGGCGCAGCGTAGCTCAACTTTTTACGTGGACCTGCCGGGACTCCAGGGTACTGCAACATCCACAGATGCTGGGCGGGACGATGACGGGCTCCAGAGAGAGCTTCGCCAGCAGGGCCGTTACGAATCGATTGACACATTTTCGGATATTTCAGATCTGGGAGCGGCTCGCATGACGCCGCCCGGAGCTGGATTGGGAGCGGATGTGGCAGCCGGAGCAGCCTCAGCTGCGGCCGCCGATAATATGCTTCTGAATGTCGAGACTATATCGAATTTCTCACAGATCAGCGACTTGGTTGCAGCCACGCGACTGGAACGCGCTGACTCAAATGCCACGGACTCACGGAGCCTGGGTAGCCTCGGCTATCTGCTGGACCAGCCGGATGAGGGCGCGTCTAGTTCCCAGCGCAGCATTCCGCACATGCGTAAGGAGAATTTCCAGCTTTTGTGGCGCAGCATAATAGAGATAATGGGTCTGGTCCAAGATGAAGAAATGCAGAGGGCTTGTAAGTAAAAGCTGTTAGCATACTATATAAGTTATGCTATTGAGACCACTTATTTGATACTCCATTTTCTTGTAGATGAGAATCTCTTGGAGCTGGGTAACAGTAACATAAAGAAGGAGCCCAGCCTGGAAAGCTTCACTCAGCTGAATATGGGTGGCGATGAGGTAGATCCTTCTCTAGTTTTTAAACGATTTTTTATAATCTGGATATATAATTTTCTAGCAACCGGATAGCAATGGCAATCCCACCACACCGGCAGCAGAACCAATAGGCACCACCCGTCTCTTTGTTGCTCTGGAGGAGGAGTTGCGTCAAGCTAGCGGCAAGGGTAGAACGACAAGCAGCGGTGATAGTAGCAACAGTAGCACAAACATTTCCGAATCCTGGCACATATCCATAAGCCAGTTCATCGCCACGGTACTGACCGTCAACAGCATTGTAAGAGGTTTCCAAACACCCATCCAGATAAGCGAACAGATCGAGCAACTGCAAAAGAAGCGGCGCAAGTGTTTGTCCACCAATTACTGAATAATCATAGTCCCTATCCCACTATTTCCTATACCCAATCCTAGCCACAAAACTGTATTAGCCATATATGAGAGCCCGACCGATCCTTGATCCTTGTGCAATGCGGCAAGCTTTTAAAAGTATCCATGTTTTATGTATGTATATTGTATTGCCTCTACCGTTAAGTTAAGACAATTGTTTGTGAATATAATTCTATTATTCCTATTATACAACGAAGTCATATATAAATAACGATGGATGCGGGGGCTTGTACATGTTTTATGTACTTTTCCGGTGGCTTAAATATTTCGCAACGGAATAAATATTCGTCGGAGTATTTATTGCTCCATGGCCACCTGCTGCGACGTCCTTCTGTTCGCAGCCGCATGCTGACGTTCGTGCTCCGCCGTTCGCACCAGGCAATCCTCGTATGTCCATTTGGGGAAGACTCGCTTGTACAGGTACATAAAAGCAGTGTCATAGGATCGCAGTTGTCCATCAAAGTAGCACTTCATATGACCGTGCGTTCCTAGCGACTCCTTGATGTGTCCAAGTCTTCCGCACTTGGTCCTTAGTTTCACGGGTTTGAAGTATTCCACATCCTCCTTGTAGAAGAACATATACCTGATAGAAGCCGACTTGCGATTAATTCGCATAGGATGACCGCTGAGAACAACGCGCTTAAGGACAATCCGATCTGGATTGCAAGAAAGCAGACGTCCTCGTGCCACCAGAGCCAGGGTAGAGTCGGGATTCACCTTAAAGGCCAGCACGGGTGCTGGAGGGAACTGAATGGGGGCGTAAAACGTGGCACAGACGGTCTCGTACGGACGGAAGTAGCGTTCAAACTGGAAAAGGTGATTTTATTATTTATTAATTCATTTCATTAGTAAAAGAATCCTTACCTTATGCTTATCCCCATTGGTGTGCTGGCTGTAGATCGGATTCACCACAAAGCGACGATAGCCGCACTGGATAATCAACTGCTCCTTCGATTTTATCGGCACTTCGGAATCGGGCATACGCTGGAGGACAACGTTCATTACGCACATTTGGTGCTCATGAGGTAGCATTCCATATACAATAATGTTGTCCGTAAGCTGAGCAGACTTAAAGGCGTTCCACCGGCTTTCCGGCACATTAATCACATGAAGGGTGACGTAGAAACCGGGCTAGAAATATATTTTTTACAGTCAAATTCAACACCCCGAATTGTAATGATCTTACCAGCACACCCTCGAACTCCTTGGCTTCATTCAGAATCCTTCTCTTGGTGCGGTCGAAGTTCTGGAATTGATAGATACGAGCATAATCAGCTGGCAGATTCTCCTTGGCATCCCAAGGCGATGTCCTGAAGGATTCCAAGCCGCGATATTTCTGGAACCTTTCATGGGCAGGCACATCCAAAGGTGTGTCAATCTCATCGGGCCAGAGTTGATCTGTTCGAGCTTGTTGTAGCTGCTTTAGGGTCTCACGCTCCTCCTGGAAGTCCATCTGCTGATCGTATTTCTCGTCGTTGACGGCAGCTTCTGAGGTCACAGACGCACTATCCTGAAACTCTTCAGTGTCCGAATCCCGTTTCTCATATTCATCCTCGAAAGACTTATTGTCACACGACATAAAATCCTCATCATCATCCTCATCTTCATCGTCATCATCATCATCGTCGCTCATGTCGTCGTCTTCCTTGCTGTTGGTATCCGCCACCTCCTCAACATCAGGAATCCATGCGGCCTGATACTCGCTGTAACCCTTGGGAACACGCTTCACAAGCTTCATCTTTTTGGTCTCCTGCTGCGAGGCGGCAATCTCCTCCTCTGTGGGCCACGTCTGTTCCGCGTCCATGGGATCGGGGATGTTCTCGCTCTGGAGGGATGTGCGCTTCAAGGGATCACTTTTATCCAAAAGTCTCACTCCGGCATTTTCGCCATCACGAGATTTATCCAGTTTGTATGGATCTGGCGGGGCCACCACCTGACTAAGCTGAAAATCACCTAAGCCCGGAATGTGAACCAAGCCATTCACGTTTAGAGATTGTCCTCGAAGGAAACCAGTTACTTCTAAGGTGCCCAGATCATCGCTAGGATCGGAATTAGGCTTGAATTCCACTACATCGCCGAAGAGATGTGGCCGATTTGCCACGTTGTGCAGGATACGTTTCTTCTGGCCGCCGATACGTCTCATCACATTCAGTCCCTCGCTGGCAGTATCCAATTGCATGATCTTCTCCTCGGGTAACAGTTTAGAGATGATCTTTTGAGCCGCTTGCTTAGCAGCTGGACGCCGCTTGGGATTGATGGACTCCAGATCCATGAGGGCCACCACTGGAGTGGGTATTCCCTGAGCAGACATCATATTGAAAATCCGCTGACCCCAGCGATCGAAGATATCCTCATCACCAAAGGCGGCAGTGGTCAGGAGCAGAGTAGTGTCGCACACCTTGAGGTAATCCAAGGCAATTAGCTCATTTCCACGACCAACAGGTGGGGTTACAAAGGCAAAACGCTGCTTAAAGCGAGGAAGATTCATGTAAACAATGCCACTTGGGGAGTTCTCCACCACCAGTTCGCTGTCGCAGCTTTGAAGAATTTCCAACGCGGACTTGGGATCGATTTGCTCGTGCATAGGCAACAGGCAGACGAGGAAGGGAGCAGTGTTCTGACCCCCCAGCTTCCTCTTCTGCTCCAAGACTTCTTCCCTTTTGTTCTTCCGCAGCTGGTTCATCTGGTTGCGACGCTGCTCCTTCCGCTGTTGTTGCTTGTGCCTATGCGAAATGGCCTTAAGACCAATCTTTCCTGTGGAAGCAATAGATCATTTAATAGGTTTTCAAAAATTGCTTCAGGCTTTGCACTTACCCTTTTGGGCATTGTCTATAGCTCCCTTGGAGCGATGACGTCCCGTTTTGTGGGCTTTGTTCGTTTGCTTCAGCGGCCCGGGCCGATGAAAAGCATGATCCGCCATGATTGCAGGTGTTTTAATAGAGAAATTCCAACCAATTCACGCTGTTTTGTTTCCACAAACAAGAGCACATGTTCTAGTGATGATCAAACCATTGATTCTTTGCTAGCGATATTTTTCGATTGTTGTTATCGATTTTAGATGTTAAAATTTATTTGAATTTGTTGTTTATGGTAGTTTTCATTTAAGTGAAAATCATACAAATCCGATAAGAATCCGCCAAAATTTTAAGATTTGGTTTCTATATCTTAAATCATTGAACAAAAACTTCCGAAAGGTTATTTTATGTGTTTCAAAAATGTGACCAGAGTGGGCTAATGAACTGTAACGGCTGTTAGGCATAACAGCACTGTTGCATGGCGCCAATTTGAAAGTTATGTTATTGTTACCTTATTTATAAAAAAGTTCGATATTTGAAAATGAAAAACTCCCATAAAGTATACCAACTGATTCTAAAAATAAAAGAAAGTTTTTCGTTTTTTTAAACCACATTCAATGTAAATATGTATTTGCTGTTTATGGTAAAGACATGACGTCTTGAATATAACGCTGTTTAGTAGCTAGTTTACATCCATCCCGTGATATATGCATGCGTCGGATTCTTTTTTTTCATTTGCTGTAGTAGCTCAGTATAGTAATAGGTTTAACTGCCTTTGATTGATCGCAACCTTCGCCTTGGCGCGCTCTTCAAAATATTTTCAAATGGATTTTGGATTGGGCTTACATAGATAAGACATGGGTTGTCGTAATTAACTTAGTTGCGTAGGATATTCATTAGTGGGGTGTGTAAATAATTTCCAGAGATCCTCGAGTGGGTCCAAAAACTTAACGATAGGCCATAACACTTAACAATTAGGAGTAAAAACAATACAACTAATAGTAGGTAAATTGAGTGATTGTTTCTCATTAATTGGATTTGGTACTTCTCGAGCTTTTCTCTAAGTTATTCATTTTCTTCGTTTTTAGGTAGGTTTATTTTATCAGAGCGAAGACGTTTCTCAGCGAAGTCCAACCGGGCGTGCTGGATAAATCTCAATGTTGCATGATTTTGCTGCGTTTCTTCTGCTTTTTTTTTCTTCCTCGTTAAAGTAATTTATGCAGTTGTATATGGATATTTGTATATATATATATTGTTCAATATTTATGCATTGGCCTACATTTACTATATATGTATATGCCGCATACGCCAATGGCCTGCCCTAAAAAAATTATACGTATCGCGTCCCGTTCCGCTGCCCCGAAATTCCCATTTACAATACAAAACATACCGAATAATCTACCACCTCACTAGGGTCTTACAAAATTGGTGCCATCTTTGTTATATTTCCTTTGTTTTTTTCTTCAATAAATGCAGAAGTTCTACTCTGCCATCGTCTCTCTGTCTCCTTCAGACTGCCTCACTTCCCTTTGATCTGACTGCCGGTTTATTGTTGTCTTTGTGCGCGGGATCGGGAGGATATGGCTTTTGTTTTATTCGCGAGTTGGCCAATTGCAATTACATGTTCCTGCATTGGGCGCAAACCGAACGCGCCTTTGTATTGTCACGCACAAAATCATGAACATTGAACTTTCCATCATCGCCGTGCTCATAGCCGCGACTCTTCAGTTGCCTAAAATGTGAGGAATACAAAGGATTATTGAGATTGGTTTGGGGAATGTCGGGACAAAAGATGGATGATTTCCATTGATCCAAGTTGTAAAGGCAATATTATCGGGGGAGAGCATATTTTCCTTTATTGTTTAATTTAAACGAAAGACCCACCTGGCCACCGCTGTGAAGGACAGCTCCACATTGAGTCCCGTCTTGGCCGAGGTCTCCATGAAGGGTACGTTGTGCTCCCTTCCCAAACGCTCCCCATCCTCCCGTTTCACCTGACGTTCGCTGCTGCTGCAGTCCGCCTTGTTTCCTGCAAAACAGACACAAAAACGGAAACGGAAGGTAGATTCGATTCGATGCTCGTAAGTTGATTAAGCGTAATCAAAGCCTTTTAACCGGATCTCTCACCTATTAAAACGATGACCACGTCCTCCTGCGCGTATTCCCGGATTTCGCCCAGCCAGGCGCGTATGTTGTCGTAGGTTGTCTTGTTGGTGACATCGTACAGCAGCAGCAGAGCTTCGGTTCAAAAATTTAATTAGGTTCAAAGGACTCACACACACAGTCGATGGAGCAGATGTGACATGCACGCGAAAAAAAAATGCTAGAGTATAGAATTTTGCTCACCGTGGGCGTCGCGGTAGTAGGCATGGGTAACGCTACGGAAACGCTCCTGACCGGCCGTGTCCCAGATTTGCAGCTTGACGCGTGTGCCATCGACGACCACCACTTTGTTCTGTTGATATTTTTGTAATTGAACGAAATGTAATTTATTATTTTATAAATGCCAAACACGAAACTGGGCCGTGGAAATGCAATTGTTATGTAAAATGCAATTAATTCACGAAATGCTCATGCACAAAAGCCGTGCCACCGAATTACACACACACACACACAGATGGGGTTGGAGAATAAGAGTTGCAAGGCAAAAGGGGGATAACGTTGCGTATGCTTAATGCATATCACTTATACGCAGCGTGGTCTGCTTTTACAGTATAACCCCCAAAATACACATGCAGACATGAATTAAGTAAAAAGGAAGAGGGTAGAGAGAAAGGGGAAATATTCATAAGTACGACCAGACGGCAGTTTCCATGATGAAAGCCTTGGGTCGAAGGATCCAGCATAATGATGAGCCGCCTCCTTTTCCGTTTTCCTTCTTTTTCCCGGATAATGAGCAGCAGACGTTGCAAGTTCGTCCGGCCATTGGCATTACGATGGCCCCATGTCGTTTCCCCACTAACTACTCAGACAGTCAGTCAATACCATAAAAGTGTACAAGATGAGGAATACACAACGAAAAAAAAACAAGAAAAAACAAACACACAACATCTAGCAAAAGGTAGAAGTACGGGTGTATGATTTTAATACGTTTGTGTGGCATATTGCCCTGATTTCATTTCAATTTCAGGGAATAAGCCAAGAATTTCTGGCTCAGCACACACTAGGCCAATGCACTGTCGGAAATTTCAGAGGTCAAATATGATATAAACTGTATAAGTTAATTATTTAAAAGTTTATAATAAGTATGAGTGAAACATGATTAAAATAAGAACTTGAGCAGGTTTATAGGGATAAGTATACTTAACATAAATGAAATATAGGAATATATTTCTTAAAACATTCGAATGGAAAAGTTATCTTACATCTAGAGAGTTCAAACATTTAATTATCCATAAATTGGCAGGCACTCATATACAATATTCGTTTACTTTATACTTTTTGGCCAAGAACCAGCCAAGTTGAAAAATCAACATGAAACAACTCCCCAGTGAATTAAATTTCAGTTGAATCCCCAATGTCCCCGCTGTAGTAAGCAGTGCGGTGGCTGATGCCTTAGTAGGTAGCGGTGCATCCCCGAGGGCAAAGTTAGACAATGCCAGAGTCGACGTATTTAATATAGAAAACATGGCAACAATTTAAAGTCAAGGAAACGCCAAACGAATGGGGCACTTGTAAAATTTCCCGGGAAAGAGACAGATAGTAATAGATAGAGAGACAAAGAGAAAGAGAGAGAGAGACAGAGAGAGAGAGAGATGGGTAACACGGGTAGTTTAATAAATTTATGAGCCATGAGCCACAGAGGAAAAGAGGATATATGGAAGGATATATAGACAGGAGCAAAGGAAGTGCCTCCGGCCAGGACAACTAAGCCCCTAAATGTTCAACCGCACAATAATAAGCATAATAAAAGCAACAACAACAAGTTAAATACACCGAAGTAGAGTAAACAGCTCACACACACACACACACACAGAGAGAGACAGAGGCAGCAGACAGAGACACAAAGACATGGACAAGAACATCAACAAGTCCTTTTCAAGTTCACATGCTTTTTAATAAATAGTCCCCCAAGGATCTTTATCTCTATCAACAAAGTTGGAGGTTGGGCGGGTTTCGTTGGGTTTTGAACAAGAACTAAACGTAAAGAGGACAACCGCAGGCAACTACGAAATCATGAAAACCACAGCCCATAGACGGGTCAGAGAAGGAGACAGAGGTATGCTGAAAGAAAGAGATAGAGAGAGAGAGAGAGAGACAGAGAGAGAGAGAGAGAGACACAGTAAGCAGTGAAGTTGAGAGGGCAGTAGGTGAAAATCTCATTGAAAGCCTTGACAACTGTTGACAGGACATACAGATTGACGGAAAGAAGGAATCAGCAGGTGTACAAGTGGTAAACAGAGAGAATTTTGTTTATATAACTATGTAAATTAAGTTATGGGTTAAGATTTTTACAAGTTATAAGTTGAAAATTTGATATGACAAAGTTTATTATTTGAAAACAGTTTAATAAGTGTTAGGTTTTTAAGCTCTTAAATCCAATGATAGGGTTTATTAAATGTTAAATCACAGCAAACATTTCTCTCTGTGTACCCAATGACGGGCAATTCAAATAGATAGATAAATGATGTAGATTTGGTAGACAGACAGAGTCAGAGATGTGAGTAAACTATGAGAGAAGGAGAAAACACTTATGCGGAATGAACAACAATGATAGCAAGAACAGAATCCACAACAACAACAACAATAATAACAACAACAACAATATGAACAAGAAGGATAATGACAACAATACATATATAAGAACACAGAGAAAGGGGGAACATATAATGGAACAGAAGAAACGGCGGGAATAAAGCGCTTACCCTAAAATCAATGCCAACGGTGCTGAGGAAATAGCTGGGCACATAGCGACCATCGCGGAAACGGATCAACAGTGAGGTCTTGCCCACTCCCGAATCTCCCAGCATTATGACCTATTTCAGGTTGCCAAAGGGTAAAAGCCAAAGGAAAATCCAAAAGAAAACCATGTGATATGTGAGTGAGGTAAATTGTTATGTACATCTTTTCTTGATTTTAATTTTTTTGGAGTTAAAGGAGTGTCTAAGGTTTGATTTATCTGCTTTTATAATTTATGCCCAAGCCCTAATGTTTTCAGCTAAATATTTAATGAGCTGCTTATGAATTTTACATGCCACTGCGGCCGTGCTGAAAGCTCTCATTGTTGTAGCCCTCAGCATTGGCAGGGCATGTCCTCTTTATACCTTGTAGCCTTTGTAAATTTTATAACTGGAATATCCTTTCAAAAAGGTACTGCTGCCAGCTGGTATTGACTCTGCTGGGATACGCAAAGTTAGCTCGGTTATGCAAACATTGCAATTGCTGATTTCCCAGGGAGTATCTTGTTTGCCAGCTGCTAACTAGGCGAAAATGTTACAGCAAAAATCATTGCGCAAAACCTATTCAAACACAGAGAATAAATCTTTTTTTTTGCAGTTAAAGCTTTTCAAAATTAAAATATAGATTGCTTAAATAATTGCCTTTATTAAATCCAACTGGCTAGCAGGCTTTAAATGGCTCAAAGTTGCCCCGTGGGACTTCTGCGAATGTTTTAGTTAGCTTTCCTCCCTCTCTTCCACATTTAAAGAGCGGGACATATAAATATGTTTTTTTTTATATAAATTTTTCATTTCCACAACTTGCCTTGGCAGCTGGGTGACAGGAAGTCGCCGCCAGGAGTCCTGTCATAATTCCCCCCAGATTTATTCTAATCAAGAGCAGCTGCAGCAGCCACCGAATGTCACACAAAAAAAAAACTTTGCTCTCTAACTTTGGGCATTTAATTTCCTTTGTCACTCTGCACTTTATTGAATTTTATGACTTTATTTTCGGCTGCTTGTGCAAATCACATTGTAAATCAGGCCAAAAGCCGATCACGAGCACAACGAATAAAAAGCCGTCTCGTAAAAGTCGCTGGCAGTCAAACAAAAAGGTATAATACATAAATCAAATTGCGGCCTCACGAAAAGCAAGTTGCCGGCTGGAAAACTCCACACTCCCTCAGACTGTTAAAGTTACAAATAAATATAGCCATAAGAAAATATTTCAGTTTTTTATCGTTACGCCTTTGTTGTCGCCTTTTTGAAAATGCAAATTGGCAGTTGACAAGTTGAATCGAAAAAGGGGATCTTTCTTTGCTTTTCTTTTTTTTTCTTTTTTACTTTGAAAGTAAGTGCAGTGATTGAGGGTTGTTCTCGGTAACTGGGTGGAAATCAAGGTCGATGTTGGATATTATTGCTGGCAAAGCAGAAATGCTGATAACTCAAACTTAAATATTTCTTTATAAACTCATCGAACTAAGAAACATACATATATTATTTGGCTAGAAAATTGAGAGAAGCTCATTAGTTTGCCTACTCCTTAGCTTAAGATACTCCTCCTGACTAACTTTTCATTTTATTAAACAACTTATTAAAAGTCAAAAAGTACACTGCCCAGTTTCCCATTCGTATTCACCTTGCCCATGATATCGAAATCGTCCTCCTCCTCCGGCGCCTTGTTCGATGAAATCATGCGGATGAGTGCTCGTCCAGCATTCTTGCATAGCGTAGCGCTGGCTCCCTCGGTACCAGGTCCCGGAGCAGGTGCAGCAAGTGCAACAGATGGCCTGGCCACTGCATTTTCTCCACCACCAAATCCATTACTTCCTCCTCCGGAATCCAAAAGTGGCTGCTGTTCTGCCCCAGCGGCCAATCTGACGCTATTTAAACGGGCCATGAAACCATTGCCAGATGGCAGATGGTGGGATTGGGTTTGAGATTGAGATGTCTGTGGTGTTTGATCCCGGAATATAGATGCCGAGGTCATGTATTCCGGCAACAGAGGCTGCTGGGAGATGGACTGCTGGCGCTGGTGGACAATGACGCTGGGTCGTCTCTTCGGATAGCCATCATCGTCCGAATCGTCTGAGGCAATGCCATTGATCTTGTCCAGCGTTTTTGGTGGCAATTGGCCGGGTGTAATATGCTGCCATGTGGGCTTCACCAGAGACTCACGACGCGTGGGTGAGCCACTGGCCAATGGTGATGGTGTGGCCATCGAAATGGAGGGCTTTCGTGTGCCCGATGGACTGGCGATGGAATCGCTCCGATATCTTGTCTGCTGACGACGCATCTTTGAAACCTCTTTTTACTTCCTGGTGATTGGCGTGATTCTATATTTAACACACACGCACATAAATCAATAATCTGAGATGTCGGTTGTTGGTTGTGTCTTCATTATTGATGGGTAAAAAAGAACACAGCAACCCCCAGGAGAAAGTATCCCAAATAAAGTTTGTTTAGGTTTCAGATACACACGAACACACACACACACACTCACACAGAGAGTGGGAGATACATAATTATATACAGTTTACTTCCGACAAAGTCATTAAAACTCATTAAAAAGCATAAA